AGGTGGGCATCATCTGCTACTCAGAGGCAAAAAGATTTACTTCAAAAGATGGAGCGCATTATTTACAAGACATGTGATCTGCAGAAAGTCACTCTTTCTGAGTTTCTATTTCTATATTTGTGAAAAAGAAAGCAGAATTAACATATCCGTTATGGTAATGACAGTGAAACCAGTAGAGTGCTTGGGAGGACACAGATATTTAAGAAATATTTCCATTGCTACCATTTACTTTTAGCAGTACATGTGTCAGTCACTATCCTAAAGGAAGATATTTGTAAATTCTGGATTTTTTTAAACAGTAAGCTATTTTTTTTATTATCAATACCATTGAGCTTCAGTCCTACGAACTGCAAAATGACAAAAAGAATTCTTGTGTCTAATCCGTAGAATCCCCCTGAGAATCAAATCAGGAAGTCATTGCAGTGTAAGGGAGTATTATAGAGCTCTTTCAATTCCCACATGTAAAAAGAAACAGAGAGGACATAAAGATAATAGGCATAGTCCAAGGTTCTTTTAATTTTATAAAGAATAATCTTCTTTCTTGATATTTTTGCTGAATTTATTTACATATCAAACTTGTCTTCATTTGCTGATCAGTTCTTGCTAAAAAATTATCTTATTACTTGCGTTGAAGACAAGTTAGATCATAGGGGAAGATGATGCAAAAAGATAGCAAGTTTGAGGCCAGTATGAGCAATTGAGCAAGACCTTATCTGAAACTGCAAGAAAATAATAAGTGTTGGCATGTAGTTCAATGGTAGAGATTCCCTGGGTTCAACCCAGCACTGAAAACAACAGAGCAAAACAAATCAGAGCAGAACAGGTGACAGAAGGTGTCGCCGTATTTAGAACATAATCGTTCTTGGCAAGCTCACTACCTATGCTATGGAGGTTATGGGTTGTCTAACACTAACATGGGAGTCATGTACATCATGGTAATTAGAATGCTACCTGGCCCCAGGATATCAAGGATTCTCATACTTTCGTCTTGACTTAGAAGGGGTGATCAAATAAATGATCTGTGTTTCAATTTGAAAGAAAAAATTATTACAGTAAAAGACACATTGCCATTAATTCCCCTTAAAATACTTCTAATACAACACACTTATCCCAGCAGTTTTTACTTTCTGAAGAAGTCCTGGAAGTTCTCTTTCACATCTCATGAGATGTGAAAAAAATAGAGTGAATGCTATTGTCTACTATCATCCAATGGAAAGACAGTCTCATTAAAAATATTTTGTGTGAGGGGCTGGGGATTTAGCTCAGTGGCAAAGCGCCTGCCTGGCAAGCGCAAGGTCGTGAGTTCGGTTCTCGGTACCGGAGAAAAAACCAAAAAAAAAAAAATAAAATAAAATAAAATAATAAAATAAAATAAAATAAAAATATTTTGTGTGTCCTTATCCACCTCATTCACCAGATCGGGCACCATGCAACTTCTAGTTCTACCCAAGGCCAAAGTACTCATGAAAGGTAAATATAGTATTTTGAACTGGTTTAGGACGTCAAGGCAGACAGGACAGCACAATTAAAGACAGTCATGGAAGAGGACTTACAGGGCCACTTCAGAAAGGGGCAAGAACTGCAAGTGTGCTCAAAGCGAGGGGAGTATTTTCGGGAAGATTAAGGCAGTGTGTCTTTCACTGCAATAAGTATTTTTAAATGTATACATTCACTGAAGTTATTGATCACAACTCATATTTTTGGCAAACAATTCAGAAACTGACTTTAAAATGTTAATTTTTCTCCACCTCTTTATTTATAAAATCCATTGATGTTGGGCTTACAGTGAAAACTGAACATATTTATTTTGGTAGCTTTACGGGTATCAGTTTAAAAACAGTGGCAAGACGTAATCTTGTAGCCATATTTTCATTACAAGCAGATTTTTCATTTGACTTGTTCTCAAGATTGAGAGATGGTTAATGGAAGTTATGAAGGAAGAGACTATCTATAATCTTCCCTCTAAATCTTGTGTGTCTACTTTTTTGGAAGTCTGATAATCTGTTGGGATTCTGTGATGTTTCTCAAAATGAAATTCTGGACAAAAAGAAAATTACTTGTAACTGCTTACCATTTAAAATAAATAAATAGCCCTGGACTTATTCAGACACAAAACTGGGCACATACCAGAGCTGTTTTGTTTTGTTTTGCTTTTCAGGGATCAACAGTAACTGTATAAAGATTAATAAAGCTCACTCACAGACCATATCAAAGCTCCTTGTTTAGGGACTCATGTATTGTCTGTAGACATTTAGTTTACATTTGTCAGATGCTTTTCTTGAAGAAAGAGTATTTGGATAGAGGAACATTTTCCTATTAACAAGGCATTTTCTTTTTTTTCCCTTTTATAAAGGAAGGTGATGAAAAAAGATGACAAAGGAAAAGCTTACGATCTGTGCAAGATATATAGGCCAAGCCCAGATGTAATCATTTTAGCAAATACAGCAAGAGGTAGACACTGTATGCTCTTGCAGTAAACCACGTACCTCATTAAGAATGTAATTTCATACTCTTTCAAATTAGAGGATGCCCGACCTTTACTGACTCTAATCAAAACTCTAAATGTTAGAGGTTAAGGTTAAACAAAAAGTTCAGAGATACACAAGAAAGATATATTTAGAAGCTCAAACAGCTAAATATTAGATGTTCTAAATGGAAAGAAAAGAGTAATAGAAGGAAAAAATAAAAAAACTATAGAAGAAAATTTCCCTGAGATTAGATTGAAAATTCATCAACGTAAGTAGCAGGAAAACTGTTCTGCAGGTGAAGGCCACATGCCAAAGAGAGCTACAGGCTTCTATAAAGGAAAGCAGATCCCTGGAACAAAGACTCAAATGATGGATGCGAAACATGTAAGGAATGACCTCAAAAGATCTGGAAGAAAAATATTTAACTTAGAATTCTGTAAGCCATCAATCAAACATGAGACACAAAAAGGCAATTTTGGGCAATTAATGATCTAAAAATGATCCGTTTTCCAAACTGAAGTAGGATGAAAGTTAAAATGTCGAATAACTTTTATTAAAGTGGTGTACAAGAAAGCATGATATTTAGGGTAACAGCCAAATTTTTACCTGTTAGGTATAAGAGTAAAGAGTTAGGAATGGACTAAACTCTATGTTCCTGCCAAAATTGCTTCCAGTTAGTAGGTGATAATAATTTATTCATGATGAATGTATTTACTTCGAAAAAATAACTTGTCTGATATATAAAATATTAAGAATTTTTCCTTTATCACTTATTTTACAAAGCTGTCTTTCTCTTGGGATTTGGTGTTAATTTTATCATCATAATGATAAGTAGGTTTTTTTAGAAACCTAGTACCACATTTCATTAGATTCTTCACTACTTATTTCATTTCTGACATTGAGAATCACATATAAACTTCAAATTGGGTATAATCTTTGCAATTTTAAAGATATTTTAGACTACTTTAAAAATATAGTGATGATTTAAGAGCAAATAACTTGCTATGAAAAACATCCATATTTTAGCATTTCTGTCAGCTTCATTTAGTTTAATTTTTAACCCATTAGATTAATGTAAAATTGCATTTAATGTTATATTCAACCTCACTTATCTGACTACTGTGGATTTTTATACATATCTACTTTTATTTCACTTTGTACTTGGTAATGATAGCAAATTGAGCATATACTTCAAAGTTCTGTAAGTTCAGATGCAACTAGAAGTTAATAATGAATATTTCTTAACTGTTATTTATTATTATAATAAATTATAAAAGAATGTAGTAGTTTTGCTATAGCTGCAAAAAAGGACAACCTATATTAGAAAAATATCCTGAATTAGATCATGGCAGGATGTCAGAGCAGAAAAATTGGCTTTAAACATCAAAGGTTGACTTCTGACTCAAACAGAAAATGTTAGATGCTGCTTCCCACACCAAGATGCACTCTCTGTGTGGTGAAAGCGTGTAACTGACTTATTCTCAGTGGTGTGCCCATCTTGTGACATTTAAATTAGAAGGCCGACATAAATGATTCTCATCTCAATAGCATGGTCAAAATTACAGACTCTAAGTAATGTGTTGCAAAATTTATGTGTTTATTCTCGGAGAAAGGTGAGTTTCACATTGCTTTTCAAGAAGAGTCAGCCTTTCGGCAATTTCTTGACAGCTTTGAGCCCTAGTTTCCTCATCGGCTTAAAAGCAAGGCAACGATAGGTACCTCCAAAGTCGATTTTCTAATGACAGTGATGCACTTTCATCAAATGATCATATTTTCTTTATTACCTATCCTTCCTACCAGGTCAAGAGTAAATTCAGGATTAGCAACAATCTCCCTAGCAAATGATCTTCACTTCAGTGGCAGAGCAAGAGCGATAGTCTACTTTGTAACACAGAACTCTGAGGTCTTTACATAACAATAATTGGGAAAACATCCAATAATATCCTTTTATAGGGACTTTTATGCCTAAGCAAAGGAGTTCTGGGGTATTTGCACAAATGTAGTAATGTGACACTTAATGGTACAAATCCAAAAATTATAATCACAAATCATTTCCCAAAACATAGCAGATTGCTTCAAATGCTTTTTACAAAAAGAGACACATATAAGGTGATACATGAAGAGAAAGAGGATGAGTTTGTACTTCATAACACTTTTCTTGGGATACTGTGTCTCCCACCTGTGCTCCAGTGTGAGGATAAACACATGGTGACGGAAAGACCTACACTCCTGCAGGTCAGTCAAAAGTTTGCTTCACAGGTGGTAGTTCTTGCTCGAAGAACTGTTGTACAACAGTGTCACAAATAAACTCCTAATTAGGTTTTGCCGCTGAAATGTTCACCTCCTACACTCTGTCAACTTCCACCTGCGAATGTTATTTAAACGCAAAGACTCCTGCATGTGCCTGTGGAAAGCGGATGCTGATTGCCTTTGAAACGTTTAGCAGGAGAAATTCAGACAATTTTATCAAAACTAACTGAAGTCGTTACACAAACCCTGTAGATTTAAAAAGTCTCGGGGGAGGGGCAAGCATGACAATTGGATTTAACTGTATTCAAAGGTTTTTTTATTTTCTGAAAAAATAGAACATTTCGTATTTTACACTACAAAAACATGTATACAAACCAAAAGCACATAGAGCTTCAAATGGGAAGACATACAGAAATGCTAATCCTTCCTCAAATTAACTCTGAGACAGGGGCTATGGTCACAATGCCTATCAAAGAGTAAGATACACCACACAGCTGCTCCTCAACTGCCTGAAACCAAGAGAGTCTGATAAACATATGAACAAATAACTGAGTATAACTTTATTCTCAGACTATAATAAAAGTAATTTACATACTTATAAATAATTAATTGTGAATTACAGCAGTCCAAAGATTCACAAATATGTTGACCACTCAAATTCCCATCAATACAGTCCACTTCCTGAATAAACATGACATGGTTTTGCCCTTTCCCATTTTTCCCATTAACATTTAGAAAAAAAATACTTTAGATTCTGATTATTATACACGGAATTTTTTAAAAACATTAATTGGTGTCTTGTTTTAAGCAATAATTATGTGGTCATTCTGAACAAAAACATTCAACCATTTGTAAAGAAGATTTTTTCATAAATGAGTAAGAAATGAAAAGAAAGTTCTGATCTATTTCTTTTTTGATACATGACTATATAATTAACATCACAATAGAGAAAAATGTTCAATGTAACCAGCTGTGCTCGAGTTGAAAAATGATGACTTATTCTAGTTATTAAATTTCAAATAAAGCTAGAATTTTAATTCTATTTATTCATTATCATCATCATCATCACCATCATATTGTACCTACTTTTTAATTTACTTTAATTTTAAACATCTGGCATGACATAACAAAGACAATTTACTATCACATTTAGCTTTCTTCTTATGTTTAGAAAGAACAAAATGAGGAAAGGATATTATTGTACTACACAATATTCTACATTTAGTAAATTTTTAACACCTTACCCAAAGAGTGTTTGCCATTCAATGCATCATTACAGAGAAAAAAACCTTCTAAAGGTAAATTGTCTGTGCTTGTGCTCTGAGAACCCACTTCAAATGGGAGAAAGAATGGCTTGGAAAATGTTTTACTTTCACAAAAAGATTAGATAGCAGACATGCAAACATATAAGTGCTCAACTGATACTACAATTCCATTTTAAACTTGCAATGTGGAACGGTGTCATCACCATTACACACGGGTTAAAATTCTCTTCTGAACAGAGATAAGGATGTTCTAAATTGTTAAACTAATAATGCTGGCCATGCTTAAGTTTAGATAAAATATTGACCTAGCATTGTGGTGCTGAGTATTGAAGCCAGGGCCATGTGCATTCTAGGCAAGCACTCTAGTACTGAGCTATAACTCCATCCCATAATACAGATTTTACAGTGAACCTAGGCTGTAGAACACTGATTTGGTGAACAAAATACAAGAAATAAAAGACTATGCACATTAAATTTTGTTGTAAATGAGAAAAATAAAAATTCTTACATTTTTGCAAACAGTTAATACATTTCAAAAAGAGCAACTGTTTGTACAACATAGCAAATACCAAGGTCAGACACAAAGAATGATTAAAGTAATCATTGAGTGACTTCAATAAGTAGCAGTAAATTTAAAATAATTCCCTGCTTGTACTCGTTTTTCAAGGTCCAACACTGATACTCACTCCAAAAAGTATTGCAGCTGGTAACTGCAAAATTTAAAATTATTTGACAAATCTGTAGCACGTACTAAAATTCTCAGAGCCATGCTTGAATTTTGGTAGTCTGGTGGATGAATGCATGAGCCAATCAGATAAGAAATCACAGGGTGGTTCGTCAAACCTTTCCCTGGGCTGCACACAATCTAGCTGTATTTCAGGAGAGCTGCTTCTGCCGTCCAATTCTCACTCTTGTAATCTGAGATCTGCACTTTCCAAATGGAGACACACCTAGTGGTGAGCAAGTATGTTTAGAAAGGCTTGACATTCTTCAGACCTGCACAAACTGAGATATAGATGAAAGCTACCTGGCTATTTAATTTTCATTTTGAATTACTGTATTTTTCCAAGTAAAATTACAAAGGGGCAAATACGTGTGATCCACATTTATGTTCTTTTGTGAAAAAGAGGAAATCTATGTTCTATTATTTAGATATCATCCACCCTGTCTTCTCTATTATCTTTTTACATACTAAATTGGAATACAATTTTAAAAATACTTTTGTTATACTCACACCGCTGTGGCTAGTCAATCAGCTCTAAAATGTGGCAGTTTTCCTTTTAAATCATTAAATCTATTTCTATTTTGAAGTTTCTCAATTGTTACTTTATCACTTTGATCCAAAATTTTTACAAAATTCAATAAATTGCAACACAATATCCAATTATTTTATACAAGGGAAATTCATTTCAGTAATTTTCTATTCATTGAAATGAATGAGTGCATCTTTAATAATGATGATGCCTATTTACCTGTGATTTTTATCAACATGATATTGAAACACTTGTTTCGCCTCTTTGAAAATTTCCCTAAACCAGCAGACCACAATTGAGACACAGTTTGCGTTGGCTCATGGCACTTTATACAACTTGAACTTAATAGAGTTTGAAAACTGTTCAGACCTTGTTTTTTCTTTTTTGTTATTGTTGCAGTTTTTTCTTGTTTTTTAGCAAAGAGCTACTTACATAAAGGTGGGCAGAACAGAAAACTATGCCCCTGAATTCACTCTTACAGGTGCTAACATTTCTATAAACAAGGTGTTTAGGGAAAAGAGTAGCATTCATAACACGTGTACAGTTTCTGTGGATTTCCAAATCCCAGGCTGCTCTGACATACCACTAAAAATCATGAGTAGGTGATATCTTATTTAAATTCTGTGCTCCTTGAATATCACATGCTAGTTCATGATTTTATAAAGTGTACTGATCTAAAATATTTGTTCACACCACTAAGGAGCTCAGTTTTGCACAACCTCAAACAAACTATATATTTTTTTATCACAAATATCAGTTTTCACAGTGCAGAGTATGGAACATACAGAGGCCATGTCTTCCATTCTTAACTCATCCAGATAAATTCAATGCCACATAATTGAATACAAAGTGAAATTACCAACTTAATAAAGCACAATCCACAAGTCATGCTTGTCAAGTCTTGAAACAAAATTCTAAAGGAAAAAATGCATCTATTTCTTCATCTTCCCATTTCTAACAGATTTTAAAGGAAATATCTATCTGCATATCTATCTACTTCCCATCATTCCATTGCTACCTTAGTTTCACAGTTCTGGAGATCAGCCAGAATGGAAATGGTTTCAAAGGATTAACACTAAGGAGGGGGGGGTGCTTAGTGCTTTGTGCCTGGATTTAGTGACATTAACAGAAGCCAGCAGTTAAATCCTTTTACATCCCACAGAAAAAGTGCCCTTTCCCGTCAACCCTGCTTGACAAGATATTCTCTGGGACTCAAAAAGGTGGAATTTCTTATAGGGCTGCAAGATTAATGGCTTGAGGAACTGCATTGTCACAGATATTACAAAGTGTTTTAAAAAGCCAAAGGGGATATAATCTTGCAGACATTTCCTGTTACTGAATAAAGAGATTAGTAGCTTTTGGACACACAAGAGAAAAGAAGATACCAGCTTGTGTTCCATTTTCTTTCTTTCTTTCTTTCTTTCTTTCTTTCTTTCTTTCTTCCTTTCTTTCTTTCTTTCTTTTTTTTTTTTCTCTCTTATGTCTCATTCATATTACACTCTAGAACACCATTCTTTTCTGTTACAAAAATTAAAACACTATCAAAAACGCAAGCAGAATGATAACACGCACTTGTGCAAGCACACAACTCCAACTTCAGTTTCTGGGTATATTGCAAATTATACAGTATATACAGATTTATTACTTAATAGTCTCTCGAAGAGCAACGAAAAGTAAATTTTATAACACAGAAAAATAAATATGCACCCTGTATTGTACTCCTTGATCAAGCAACATGTTTATAAACTAGCTTCTATAACATAATACCAAGTAATCGTATTTTAAAATTACAAAGGAAGATATGTATAAGGACGAATCTAATATTGCTCTTCAATACACTTATGCAAACACTGAAGACTTGAAGTAAACTTCCGTAAACTGCAGCTTTTCTTAGCCCACACATGGCTATGAAACCTATCCTTTCAAGTAGATCCCTGGGAGTTTCGAAAGGGGCTGCCTTAAATTCAGTCTTTGAAGGTGCTATATATTTATATATGTCATGTATAAAATTTTGTAGAAGTAGTGGGAAAGACTTTGTGGTTACTGTCATATAATGTCTACTGTCACGTTCTTATTTATGCAGGTTAGAGTTGCTTCATGAAAAACACACTAAGAGGAAGATTCGGAGATTTTAGTAAAACACCGATTACAAGTCCTATGGCTGAGGCAAATGCTCTCCTAAGGTTTAGAAAACACTGTTTTCCCTTTTCCCTTTTTTTTCTTTAAATTAAAATAAATCTCAGGACTGTCTACAAAGTGCAGAAGCATTTCCTCGAAGACGTGACACTGGCGGAAATTACAGTGGCACCATCCCGTTTACCAGCTGCACCTTCATTTCTTGAAGGCTGTTCATGATCTTCTTCTGGTGACCGACAAGAGTCACTCCGAGACGTCTCAAATCCCTGCATGAAGAAAGCACACATTGGGTCTCTGTATTGACTGAATTTGCAGCACACGTCAATATTTCACGCTGGCAAACTTTTCGCAGACTCTAGTGAGTACAGTCCCAATTTAGACACTCAGAGTCCAATTTTTAAAGGGAGACTAAAATTGTACCTTGAAAAGAAAATCAATGTACAATCAAATTAAGAACAGGACAACATAGTCCGTTTGTCCCTGTTGGTGAACACCATTATTTAAATATCACAGAGTGGTGGAGCAACAAATTTTCTCATTTTACCAATAATTGCCCAGTTCAGAGGGTACAATTTCACCAAACAGCATGGAAATGTGGACCCACAATGTGTATAAGATTTGTGTTTTACTAAAAGTTTATAATATAACTTTAAAAAATTTACAGCTAAGCAGTTGAAAACTAAACCCTTTAAATGCCTCACTCCATACAATCATTATATATAATCGATATTACAAGAGAATAATCACTTACTACATTGCTCTTATAACAGCATATTTTGATTATTTTTACTTTGGACCCAAAATATTGGACTTTTCTTCCTTTAAATAACATCTAGGTCCTATTGACATGTTGAGCATTTTGAACATTATGCACTATCAAATAATCCTCCAAGATATTTTTGGTGCATTTTACAAAACAATTATTAAACAAAAGAAAACAACAAATGTTTAATTTCTAAACTAACCTAATGTATTATGGAACTCAAGGCATAGTAAGTGCCCACAGTTTTAAAATATTATTTTATAAGATATTTACGAGTGCTATTCCCCTAAAGTGTACACATGAAATATAATAATTCATGCAGATTTCAAAAATAATACATGTTAAAAATAGAAAAAATGAGCACTAACAATTCAAAATTCCAACTGACAAAGATGTTTGCCATGTGAGATTTCCTTACTTCATTGAACACATTTGGCTAAAAAAGAAAACATATTTGTACTTACTAAGTGCTTTAACTTTAGATTTTCTTAGAATTCAAGCAAATTGGAGACAATGACATCAGAAATATTTTAGGCAATACTGAGTAGTTTTAGATAACTCATAAGATCTCTAAATTGTTAGAGAATAAAAATTAAGGAATACACAGTCTCCATCTTAATCAGTATTAAAATTGCATATTGAAATAATATTTTGTGTTTCTTTTCCTCTTACTGATCTCTTTATTTCTTATGAAAGTTTTGAGGAATAAGCCAAACAACTGCTACTAATATGGTAAAAATGTGAATATTGACCTTAGAAATTATTATATTTGCAAGAGACACCAGAGTGCAATATACAAATAATGATGGTCATGACGTGGAAGAGAACCCACCAGCAAAGCTTAATCAGCAAAAGTCACTTTGAAACAAAATTAATTTTAGTACAATAATGACAATGACAACGTGATAGACAATTACAGACTAAACTAGAAATAAAAGAGACCTGAATTTGATCTTGTCTTTTTTTTGTCATTTTGGAACAGGGTCTCACTATGCAGTTCAGGCTGGGCTTGCACTCACTTTGTAGCCCAGGATGGTCTCGAATTTGCAAAAATATTCCTGCCTCAGCCTCTCAAGTGCTGAGATTACAGGCGTGTCCCACCACACCCGGCTGTCTTTTTTCAACTAAATCAGGATTTATCAGCTTTGACCCCAGGAACGCTACAGGATGGCTAATTCTGCGTTGGTGGGGATGCTGTCTTGTGCATTGCAGCGTCCTTCACAGCATCCCAAATGGCCGGCCACCCCCTAGGGACCAGTAGCACTGCAGGGTACCGTCCCCTGCCTGGTAAGAAGACAAAATGTCTTCACATACTGCCAGATGTTCTGAGGGCCAAACTCTCCCCTGGTTGAGAATATTACTAAGCATAGATATAGTCAGTAAGAGTTAATGGACATGTTCCTTGGGTACAGTAGAAAATATTTAACTCATACATATTACATGTATGACATTTCTTTTCATGGGTTAGGGAACATAGGTTTGGAGAATTTATGTCACTTGGGTAGATAACAGCCCAGAGGTAACAGCAGTAGGACTAACACCAGAGTCTATACTCTTACTTTCTTATTATTTTCAGATCTTATTTTGAGCAAAGTATGTCCAAGTATTGTCACACTTTACTCATCTGTAAAATGAGAGCTCTACAAGCATAATATCAAATACCTAAATTTCAAACAAAGAATGTATCTAAGGAAGGGAACTGTACACATAATTTTTTGATTGAAGCTATAATAATGCCACAAATGTTTCATGGCAGTTTCCATTATAGGATGACTAATATTCTTAAGTTTCCACGTATACCATGAGCCATGAAGAGCTGTGCATCTGTAGTATCAAAAAGTGTGTCAAACCTTGGAGAAAAGGCACTTAAATTTTAAATTTTTAAAAAATTTTAACCTTTAAACAATCTCCACTAGAAAATTCAACCCAGAGGGAAAATGATAACTTAAAGAACACTTTTCACCTGAAGCTTTGTAAACTTACAAGGCGACAGTCATGAATTTAAATTGGCAAGTACGAATGCGAATCTGGGCAAACGCATGGGCGACGATAAACGGCATCGTTCAGAATTGCCACACCAATTATAAGGAATAATATTTTGAGAGTAATCACTACATTTTATTCTTAATAATCAAAAACCAAAAAGAATTTATAAAGTTTCCAATTCAAACAGCATGGATTTTTCATAGACAATAACAAAGCTTTAATTTGAAGAAGTGTGCATACCTTTGTGTCCTCTATGCCATACCTTGGTCTTGTGGTTCAAAGATTACCATTAGTTTCATTTAACTTATATCTAGAACCTTAACTTGTTTTATTAAAGATAAAAAATTTTTTCTCTTGAAATGAGTTGACCACAAAAGATGACATTTTTCAATATTATCAATGTATCATGCTAAAGAATGAGTATTTGAGAATTACATTTAGTTAACACATGTGAGTACAGAGTGTATGTTTATGGGATAGTAAAATCTTCAGTACTTGAGAACAGTCCATGCAAATAGGTTTCATGACAAATTTGTCTTAGTCTTCTACCATACTGTGCAAAATATTTCGTTCCAAGATCAACTTATTATCCAGGGTTTCACTCAAGTGCATATAGAAAGTCAGACTACTAAAATATCTTTTTCTCCATCTCTTTTTCTCTTTTTCTTTCTTTTCCCCTTTGTCCCATTCTGCCCTGTCCATGGGAGAAATGGAATCATAAACTTATATCATTGCCTTTTACACATTGCAATAAATACAGTATGTCTTCAGTGGAATGCGTGGCTTTATTTTACATCTTATGTATTATTTTCAGAGTCACCAAATTAATGCACAGAGGTCTAGAAAACACTATGCTTATAATGGATATCAGTGCATATACTTCTATCCAATGTGATTTTTTTAAAAAATGTGGGGAGAAATAACATAACTTATGCCAGTTGAATTTTTCTCCATAGCATAATATATTCTTTTCAAATTGTTTATTTTTTTCTTATACTACATATGAAAGTTGAAATGATATTAGAAAAATGCAGAGGTTACATATCTCAATATTGATAACCACATCAAAGTATTTTATGTTGTCTTGTCTCACATTTTTTGCTTTTCCTATATTTCTCACTTTACTATATAATGTACATGATAAATGATCAAAATAGGGGCTGGGGATTTAGCTCAGTGGCAAAAGCGCCTGCCTGGCAAGCGCAAGGTTGTGAGTTCGGTTCCCGGTACCGGAGAAAAACCAAAAAAAAAAAACCACAAATGATCAAAATAGCAGTAGAAATGTGGGAGAATTGAGAAAAAGAAAATATTTTATAATGAAATTTCTGACTTTATGCAATAAATTTTAAAGAAATATTTAGAAATGGTGCATAATATACTACTTTTCACTTCACTTTTCTGTCTGCAAAATTTTGTCTCCTTTATAAATATTATATTAATTTCATCATCCCCATGTGTCATTTTAAGCAATACCTTAAGTCAGTTCTAATGATAACTGATTATACTTAAGCATAGGCTTATATATCTAAGCATAATGAGAATAATATTTTTATATAAAAATAGTTTGTATTTCATTGACAATAGCTTTAGAAAAACTGCAAATTATAATGAAATATCATTGTTGGGATTACATTTCAGCATCTTTTCAAACACAATTCCATGATACAAAACAATAAAAGAACGCTGTCTTAGCATATTATGATGCTAAACTGGTAAAACAAAAAGATGAAAATTAATAAGAGATATCTAGCTGACGTTTATGAGCCAGCTGCTGATTATGCCGAATGAAATTTACCAGTTGTGGATGACTTATTCCCTGGATCATCCTTCTCCCTTCTGCACTACACACTTTGCAGCCATTCTACTGGAATTTAGACCATCAGTACTGGCTGACAGAGAAGAGAGGGTAATACAGATTGCAGCGGTTTTGGTTTTTTTTTTTTTTTTTTTTTTGCTTAGTTATAGTTTTATCATGCATTTGTTTATTTGTTTAAAATAATCTAATACTCATTTACAGAGCTACGCTACACAATAAATATACATACAGTGGCAAGAAGAGATTTAACCATGGCTTGTTGATAGTTTTAAATACATAAGACCTCCTGAGCGTGGACTTGGAGGTTTCACTTAATTAAGTGGAAAATAGAGTTCTCTTGTGAATGCTTTAATATATTCTAAATTATGGATAATTGCTTTCTAAATAAGTTAATAAATCTACTTGTGTTAGTCTATACACGTTTGGCTTTAGATTTGGAAAACATTCATTGTACTTTAAGATTTCTATTAAATGAGAATACTATGAACCTTTTCAGCTTGTACACAATTGGTATAATATTTAAAATCACTGGATTTTGCTCATTTTTCAAATTACCAAAATTTGACAGCACTCGCCTGACAAGAAGTCTAAAAAGCAGTGATTCTTTTCCTAACTGAAATTGTTCCATTCAATTTGCAACTTGCCTCAAGTCGAGCTCATAGAAACTCATTGTCCTTATACACGAGAGTACAGTTTTTGCCATTAATGACCCAACATTTTATTCAAATATGAATGCTGCATACATAACAGCAAGGCTTTGTCACAGAGATCAACAGACAAAAATATCTACATTTGAAAGCTACTTTCACTTAACATGCTTTGCCTCCAAGTCTCCCAAATTCTTTGGTTTTCCACGTTCATACATACCAGCATGTACTGGCGAATCACCCACACAAAACCTCTGTGAACAAAGTTTTTAACCGAAGAATGTGGCCGTGACAAACTGTATCTTTTGCTTTTCTTTTAAACCTTCTATGGAAGCATCCACTGAGATTGTCCCAAATGTAATTTGATGTCACAAATTACAATGAAAAGTGTTTTACATATGGCACTTGAGCATTTTGCTTTGTACAAGTTGATTCTAACATGTTTTTAACCATTTTAAACAGCTGTGATTGCATTCTCCCACTTGCAGATTTTATGAGCCCATGACAATAATTCTGAGAATAACATTTTATAGTTTTATATATTATTATTTTGTATATACCAAGTATTACATGGGCTTCATAAATTTAATATTTACATATTGGCTGAAGACTGTGTGAAGTCATTATCAGGGTGTTTTGAGGTACTGTTCTTGCTTTCTGCTGAAAATGCCATTGCCCTTTACGACTACAGCAGTTCTTAGCAATGACTGGCTTTTTCTTTTGGTGGAGGGTTAAAAAAATGACAAGCTAATTTGTTTTAACTCCTGAAAAACTCAATTTTTGATTACTTCTCATTTTGAGTTAACATAGTATCTTGATAAATACATTCTTGCCAATTAGGAAAGCTGTGATCAAAAACACAGTAAACCAGAACATACACTGAATGGTGCTGAATTCTCTGAGAAATTTGCTCCACTGGAGTTCATATTTGCTGGCCCAGTTCCTAGGAAGGAACAATGTACTCATTCTGGGTCCAGGGGTGTGAAACAATTGTCAGTATTAGAAAGACGGCATCCTCTGAAAAGAAAGTTGTTCTAAGTCACTCAGTTTCATCTTACTCAACGATGAGAGGAGATGAATTAAAGACAGACTCTCTGTAGGAGACAACAAGGCGAGAGGCATCAGCTGGAGAAGAACCAATGGAAGAAGACACAAGAGGAGGTTAGGGTTTGAGAAGAAAACACACAGTGAGGGGAGTCTGGTGTTACAGGAACATACAGGAAGGTAAACAGAAAGGAGTTAAATGAAATAAAAACAAGTGAAACAATAACACAAAAATATTTGACATGCATATAGTACTTTGGGGCCCCAAAAGAAATAAAGTAAAACATGGGTCATTAACATAAAACCATTCTTTATGATTATAACTTTTCTGTAAAGCAAGCAACAAAAACAGATCTAACTACATATGACTGTGTGCTATCTTAATAAAAAAAGAGACATTGTTTAATGCAAATAATTTTATTATATATTTACAAGTAGTCTGACATTGGGTAAAAGAAATACCTACAGTATCATTTTAATATAAAATGACAAATGACTTTAATAAATTAAAATGACTATTTTTTACCAAAAAATTAAATAGCAATCATGTAAAAATAGCTTGACATTATCAGTAAATTTTTTAGAATACTGTTTTAAATAGACCACACATGAGAGTTCCTTTGACTGTCCAAAGAAATATTGGGCAAATTGTATATGTCATCAGGTAGATATGATTTGGTAGTGACAGGAAGAATGACACGGAACACATTTGACAAGCAGGTAGAGTGCTTGTGATTTTAGGTCTGTTTAGCTTTTGATGTGAAGGAAGAGAAAGCACACTGTGACATTCACTGGGATAAATGATGGTACCCTGTTACCTTTCATGGAGATTAGCAGTGAATTCAGTGAGGCAAAGAATGTAGAAAAGTAAGAACTGTCCGATGGTCACAGTATGAAGTAATGAAATAACAACTATGGCTTAGTGATTTAGACAATCTAGCATTTTCACAATATTTTAACCTTTGAATTTGTGGGTAATATGAAGTATGTTATCATTATATTCACAGGTTAAAACATTATTAATATTAATGTCACCTAGATGGAACCACCATAAGGACAGTTAGTTTTCACAAGTAACAATTAGGCTGAAATAATCACACATACAGAGTATATAATAAAATACAAACAACTGACAACCTTAAATAACTTCATATTTAATTCTAGTGACTTTTTTTAATTGAATTCAATTTAATAAAGTTTATCTTAAACGTGCACACAAGAAAGGGCACAATTGGTTCCACTGAGATTGTCCCAAATGATGCACAGAGGCAGGATGTGATGTATTCCTGGATTGTGAGAATACAAGGTGCACCACTCAGACACTGAATGGCATTCCTGCCAAACAGGCTGTGTTTAAGCTCATTACTCGGGTATTCAGCATAGAGAGCTGAAATTTAGGAATATGTTTTGCTGTTATATAGGCATAGCCACACCAATTGTGCTTACAGTTTGTTCTGTTTCGTATTTACATTCAACATAGGACAAGTATAAAAATCTGTCAAGAAAACATCTTTTCCACAACACAAAATACCAGTACTTTGCCAAGGAGCTCTTATTCCAGTTATTCAAATACTATTTGTCTGAAGCAAAGAAGCAAAGCGACTGGCCACAAGAAGCAATACCATGCAGTTGTTAACAGTACAGGCTAAAAACGATGAGGCTTCTCTGAAAGCTGCCGCACACGGACAAAGGTTAACAGATTTCCCTTGATCGCATCCAGATTGAATCCTGAGCCATTTTTTTTTAGCCCTGGCAATTGTGCAAAGATTATCAGAAAAATTACTCACTCCAAGGTCACCTGAGCCACAGCGTCCATTGAACTGTATCCATTTTCCATGAAAATCTCTGTGTAGCGGCCCATCTTGATGGCTTCTAGCCATTCACCTACTGATCTGTAGGCCCCAGACCCCAGGGATCCATGTTCTGCCAACAAATTGGATACTCTGCAACACATAAGACACAAACATCACAAGGTTTTTCTAACAGAGTCCCCTGTAATATTAAGTCACACTTAGTGGATCTCGGTGGCTACGTATTTATAAGCTAAAGAATATAAATGCTAACTTGGAACCAAATAATTCAAAGTATGGGAGATCATAAAATAAGTGCACCAAATATTTTTTGATGCATAATGAAGAAAGATGTAACAGGCTAATCAGTAAATTTCTATGAAAGAAAGCAACAGCTTAAATTTCATGTAGTAGGAATGTACACACTCAGGAATTTTATGGCAGTGGAATGACGATGTTTGATATGGTAATGTGGATACATTGTTACACATTTGCCTAAGCCCACAGAACATACAGTGCTGAGTGAAGCCTAATGTGAATCATGGACCCTTATAATGATGTACCAACGTAGGTCCATCAATGTGCAACTCTGGTGCTGGACAGCGCTGACGGGATAAAGAAAGGCTCCGCGTGTGGAGAGGCAGAAGGCAGAGAGAAGATCTCTCCATCTTTTGCTCAGTTTTCCTGTGCACGTGAAGTTGCTTTCTAATTAATGTATACTACAATTTTCCATGCAGCCATTTAGATATATTTACTTTCAACTACTGCTTTCCTTTACAAAAATACAGAAAATGCTACCAAATACAGATGTACAGAACAATACTTGCAAAGCCAATTATTTTTAGAATTTCCTAGAGGAGCCTGGGCTTATTTAAGTTCATTTCTCAGAGACTCTACAAGCTACTTAGTGCTTCATTTTCTGTTGATATTTCTTATATCCTAAGGAGGTGATTATTAATTCATCTGAAGTAAAAAAGTAAGTAGAAACAAAACAAACTGTAACCTAGAAAACAAAATGTAACTCTAAATACACACAAAAACTGAATAGAATCAACCAAAGCATGGCATGATTTTTATCCTACTAAATTCACACCCTTTGACCAATAATAACAAATAATGAGATGATGATGATAATGATGATGATGATTTCTAGACTTGTATCCTAAGGAGGTGATCAGAAAAAATGGTAAAAAATATGTATCTGAGCATCAAAATTAATTTACATGCCTGTGAGTGGGTGATGAACTACATGTATTCCCACTGTAAGGTACATGACGTAATTATCTTTCCCTGTGCTTCTGTTCTGTGGACTTTCTCACATTCCCATTTATGCTTCAAAGAACTTGAGTTTCCACAAAATTAATTCTATAAGACTTTTTCTGACTGATGTTAGCCATGACATGTATTTTGCCAGAACCTGTAGACAGTTGTTAATCTTTAAGTTGACTGACCTCTCACAAACATATAACTTCCATCTCCCTTTTGAAACCCTATTCCAGCTCCTCGTTTCTGAGTTACTGTTCCCCCTCTTTTTGGCCACCATGACATTGTGTGCTTTTGGGTTCTCCACAGTCTCCATTGCCTTTTACTTCTTTTGCTGACTTGAAAATTTGTAGGATGCCAGGTCTTGGTCCTATATCTTTTCTTTCACACTGTAACTTCATTCTGCCCTGGATTATTTTACTTACTTTTATAGCTTCAGACAGCAGCTATTTTTTCTCATTTTTTACCTCCAGACTAGATTTCATTTACAGCCATAGGTCTCCTTTGATCTTTAATATTTCTCATAAGAATGTCATCCACACACACCCCAAACCACACTCCTCATCTTGCCCACTCCTGCCTGCTACTGAAATGCTCTCATGACAGGACACCATTTCACCCTTTCCTGGTCATCCTCCTCACCATCTGTAACGCACACCATCTGTTCTACTCCAATGTACTGCGTATGGGCTGACTTTCGACTCTTTCTCACGGCTTTATTCCAAGACACCCATAAGACTCCCTGTCATAGGCATTCTACCCACTTGACCATCTTCTTTTCGTTTTAAATTAACTTTATTGGTACACTTTAGATATGCATAATGATCACATTCATCCCAGGTAATTTTTACCTGCTGTACATGATGTGTCTTAGTTGTGATCATCTCCTGGAATCCTATTCTCCTCCAACCAAACACAAGTTCTCTTTGCGGTTTTTATTTTGTGCAGTCTTTCCTGCAACAGCATACTGGCTACATACGGGCAGATCCTTAGGACTATTTCATGCCTTATTCTCGGATCTTAGCCCTCAGGATAACACAGAACATACAGGTGAATATTTGGTGAATGAATGAATGACTGAATGACAGAATGAATGAATGAATATACTGCAGCAATTTGTGGCCATTAAACAGCAAGGTCAGAAAATTGTTAGAGATAGAAATATAGGAGGCAAAAGTTAGGGAGTAAGATTTTGAAGTAGAAATTACAAGAGTTGAAATTTTTGGTAATAGCAAGGTCTAGAACGTAACCATGGGAAGAAGAGTCCAAGGTAGAATAATAAAATCAAGCAATAGGAAATTTCAAACTATTGACAGATATGCAAATGCACTTAGATGGTTACTAAAATCACTAAATCTTGTGACATAGAGGGGGGTGGAAAGAGAGAAAATGAACTAGGAACTGACATCGGCTAGAATGAGGATTTGCACATGGATAAATGAAGGGAAGTGAGTGGTATAGTTTGAAAGTTAAACTTATTTTTGTTTGTTCATTTTTTTGAGTATCAGGAATCAAACACAGGACCTCACACTTGCTGGGCAGGTGCTGCACCACTGTGCTATAAACCTAGTCTCAGGCTAAACGTCTTTAAACAAAACCTAGAAAGACAAATTCTAAACACTATGAGAAAATATAAGCCAGAAAGGGTGGTGAAGTACATTAACATTACTTAGAATATTAAGTATTCTTTTTTATTATTTCCTTCCTTTATGCCCATTTGTGACAAAGTGACATAATTCACACAAGTAGATGAGAGGAAGCTTTAGTATCTTACATTTCAATAAACAATTTGAAAACATATTTAGGGAGCAGCATAAGCAATAATTGCTAAAAAGATGCATTCTCCAACTGCTACCACAGGAAGCTAATGATGCTTGAACACGTTGGAAGATTCATTCCTCATTTGTATTTAAAATGACTTTTTTGCCTAGTAAATAAATGTTATGTCAAAATCATAGAACTTTTGTAACTTTAAAACAATTTCCATTTCGTTCATGCTAGCAAGCAGCTAATTCTGCTACCCGCATAACAGTATTTCTTGTAAAATGGACAACTGCTCCATATCTCCTGAAAATAACAACCTAGTAAATTTTTAACTTGAAAGCAAACTGATTAATATTAGAAAGAATAAGTTGGCAATTTTTCAGATGAAGAGAAAAGCATACTTTATAAGTATTTGACATTATTTAAATGCATTCAGCTTGCTATTCAAGAAAAGTAGAAAAATATAGTCATTTGCTCACACTAGTTTTCTCCACACTATTTCTCATCTATCAGCTTTAACTCCTGTTCAAACTGCACACTAAATGATTCATCAGTTCTCTGTGCACAACTGGTAAGAGCAAAAGGATCCTTCTGGTTGTCCCTGTTCATAAAATATGAACACTAAACGGTATTCATATTCACATTGTAGACACTAAAATGTTTTAAAGAAATCAAAGTATGACTGTTATTAAATATTCTGGTTTAAAATATATCAGAACACATTTGGTCTTTTCCGTGAATCTTATAACCTTATTTGCCTTCTCAACACACATCCATGAAAATACAGCACATCATTCGAATATTTGTGAACACTACCTGCTAGTGGTTCTGCATTTTTCTGAATCTGAATTTCTGAACTTTACACTGTTAGGTTAGGTCTAGTTGCTTTTTAGTATAATCACTTATATTTCCTAAATTATAAGACTCAGTATTATGTAAAAATTACAGTCAGAAATGTTCATGTCATATAGATTCATAGGTTAATTTATATCTAAACACTAATTAACTGGTGAAATATCATGGCATTTTTAATCTAAGAAACATTTAAGAAAACTGCTTAGGTTTGGCCTTGTACCTGCTCGAGGCATTCACCAGCGTCTTCAAACTACTTGGATTGCGTATGAGCTTGTCCAGCATATTGACTATCTCCTCAAACTTGGGCCTGCTATTGCGGTCCTTCTGCCAGCAATCGAGCATCAATTGATAGAGAGCAGCAGGACAGTCCATGGGGCTTGGGAGCCGGTAGCCTTCCTCCACCGCCTTAATCACCTGCGGAGAACAAACAGAACCAGTCGTCCGGCATCACACAGTTAACAAAAAGAGCCCGGGAAATGACCCACAGCCAACGATTTTATTTTTCATTATTTCTTTTGGAGTAATAACTAGAATCAGTATTTTAAAAAGTAACCCACGACCGTTTTCATTTGCTGGAAAGTAAAAAAAGAAGTACAGTTTCACAGTATGCAAAGATAGACTTTCTTCACATATTGTAAACAAAATAAATGGATATCATTTCTATCTAAAAATCTTTGTGAAGGGTGATTAATTCACAAAAAGTATATAGTTCATGTTTTATTTATCTTTGCATTTTGGAATCAAATACAGATTAAATTTTCTAGTGACTCCTCTAAAAAGTTAATGTCTTTTTAATGAAAAATCACTTGCAAAGTCACATTTTTAAAGTAATAGAGTGGCAATTTTACTTCAAAAGAGACTTTTAGGTGGAAAATGATGAATAAGTCAAAGGTTAAATTAGCATAACTGTCTCATGTATCATTTAATAATGTCAAGGTCTGACTATTGATTATTATCTCCTGATTCCTGTCAGGAAGACGCCCAGGAAGTATAAACGTCATTGGTTTTAAATATAACCATGCATGTGAATATCAGTCTAATTGTGAGGTTTTCATTGAAAACATTTGTAATATTTCTGTTGCCATCAAAATAGCTAAATCCTGAAGAGATTCGTTTAGGCCACTGAAGGTGAGAATACAGTTTTTATGCAGATTTGAATATTCAAACCTAGTATTAGTGGGTGTATTTCTGAAAATCCTGTTATGAATGCATCTTTAGCAAACTTTTTTTTTTTTTTTTTTTTTTGGTTTTTCTCTGGCACCAGGAACCGAACTCACGACCTTGCGCGCTTGCCAGGCAGGCGCTTTGCCGCTGAGCTAAATCCCCAGCCCCTTATCTTTAGCAAACTTAATTATACTTTCCTATAAAAATTTAGATTTAGTCTGTTAAATGGATGAAAAAATTTTTAGGACAGCAACTTCACAAAGATGCTCTTTAAGACTTGGAGACAAATCACTCTTTCCACGATAAAGGAAGTAACACCAGAATGAATGCCAGGGAGAAGAACAGAAGGTTCAATGGTAAATTTAAGGCATAGGTGGAAGGGAGAATAGAGATCAGCCGCAAGCCTATGGTAGTGAATTATTGTTTTTGTTAACTTGAGGTAAGCAAATTTATAGAGTGAGGAAATGTCGTCAGTTATAATCTGAGAATTCTTTCATCTCAGGTAATAGCAATCATCCAGATGGCATTAGCAGGAATCTGGCTAGAGCACAGAAGACACCGGGTCTGATGGTATAAAAGTGAGGGTCATCAGCACTTGGTCACAGCTTGAAGTGGTGAAGTTTATATATCCTTGGGCAAAACATATAGTAAAGGGTCCTGAGAAGCACCAATAAGCAAAGGCAGAGAAATAAAAATTACTCAAGGACTCTGAAATAAATGGCCAAAGAAATAATCGGGTAACTACAGGCAAATGACCTCAGCCATCTGCGCCTTAGTTAACTAAAAAACAATAGAGGCAATTAAAGTCAAAAACTCAGAAGAAATTATTCTCAACAACTATGACATATCTAATGCAATAAAAGCTCCTGCATATTGAAAAATAAAATAATTTTAAAAGTAAATGATAAATTGATAGTAACCCAAACTGACAAAAGCAAAAATGAAACACTAAATGAATTTTGAGAAAACATTTGCTCTCAATGATCAAATAAATAAATGCTAAAGAAATAAAAACTGGGGCTGGGGATTTAGCTCAGCAGCAAAAGCGCCTGCTTGGCAAGCGCAAGGTCGTGAGTTCGGTTCCCAGTACCGGAGAAAAACCAAAAAAAAA